GTACAGCTCCGGGGAGAGAGACGAAGGAATTCATTGACAATGGCAGATTTTTGACAATAGGGTAAGTTGCTGTACTGAGGGAAAGGGATTTGCTGACACTGGTGAGGCTGGACAGAGCAAGGGCTGGGCAAACAATAGTCATTTAAGGAGAGAGTTTTCTTGTGGATGGTTGTAAAGAGAATACAAGAAAGGGGAGCGACACTCATTCAAGACAGGAATCGTCTCCAATCTGTATTTGCACAGGGCTTAGCACAATCTCTCTTGGGGTCCTACGAGCACTCCCAGAACATTTAAATGTAATAACAACACATCAAAAGCAGAGCAGAGAATCAGCGCACATATCGCAGAATGCAGTCTTCCCTTGTAATTAATTGCAAGCCTTTTCAAGCTAGATTAGTCCTCTGTTCCATAATGTAGTGATCCATGAAACAAACGTCTGATACCTGGTGAGAACAGCTTCTACTGTCTAAACCTTCTGACATCATACTTGGCTGCTGATTAGTCAGGGCTGCACAAACAGTTCTATGTAATGTATGTATGTGCAGCGCTTCTTTGAATGTTTGCTTAAAAATGGCAGATTGTGATTAACAGACAGGGAGGCGATGCCTTGATAAGTTCTCCAAAAGCAGAAGTGCAAAACTTTTTGCAACAGCCAGATAACACTGGGCATTCTGGCTCCTGAAACTAGTCTCATAGCACTCTAATGCCATTGGATTTAGAGGCATGACTCCATATTTACACCAGCGGAGGTAAAATCCGTAGCAGAGCCAATGATTATCTAATCCCAGCTTTGTTTCCTTTTTCATACGTCACCCTAGGCAGCACCTCATCAGTTCTTACAGTGCTGAATAAAAGGCCCCACCCTCCGATGCAATTTTCTTGTCAGCGCTACTGTTTAATTAAGTAGGAAGCTCATGTGAAACAGCAGCTTGTGAGCCTTGCTTTTTCCCCTCCGTGGAAATAACAGTAATAGGTGCTTTATCCAGAAATATACCATATGCCAATCAAATCTGGACTTGAATTCCATTTACAGTTCCCTGATTCCTGTCCAATGGTGGATTTAACAGGGTCCTTATAAATGTGCATTTCTTCAAACCTGAGAGCAGCAGGACTACAAAGACGCTTAAAATTGTGCCTGCGCTCAAGTATTTGGCTTTATTGCACTCTACGTCAGAAATGTTGAAGCAGTTACGCTGCTATAAAACTGGTTGGAGAGAACAATCCAGGACCCAGTGTCAAATCCTTTGATGTTACCTCACAAACACTATCGAACTGACAAGGGAGGGAGGTTTAGGTTGGACATTAGGAAAAAGTTCCTAACTGTCAGGTGGTTAAACACTGGAATAAATTGCCCAGGGAGGTTGTGGAATCTCCATCTCTGGAGATATTTAAGAGTAGGTTAGATAAATGTCTGTCGGGGATGGTCTAGACAGTACTGGGTCCTGCCATGAGGGCAGGGAACTGGACTCGATGACCTCTCGAGGGCCCTTCCAATCCTAGTATTCTATTATTCTAAGTATTGGACACTTACAGCCCACTCAATTAGACTCATTAGCACCGACTCTATAATTGACAGGGGGTTTTTCTTCTCCCTCTCCCTTCTTTTTCTGTTATAAATTGGGAGGTTCCCCCTTTTTTCTCCACTCCCATCTGTGGGTGGGTTTGCCCACAAAAGCTCATGATACTATCTATCTATCTATCTATATCTATCTATCTATATCTATAAATTATTATTTTAGTCTCTAAGGTATTCCAGGAGAACTTGTTTTTTTTTTAAGTTACAGAGTAACATGGCTACCTCTCTGAGGATATGTCTACATTGCACTGCTCTTCCAAGAGAGGAATGCAAATGCAGACGAACGAAATTGCAAATGAAGCGTGGATTTGAATTTCCCGAATTTACATAATCGCGTCTGGCTGCTATTTTGCAATACCCTGTTTTGAAAAAAGAAACGCTGTCTAGACGCGGTTATTTCAAAAGAAAACCCTTCATTCTAAATAATCCTTACTCCTTATAAAATGAGATTATGCAAATGAAGCATGGGAAATTCAAATCTGTGCTTCATTTGCAATTTCGTTCTTCTGCATTTGCATTCCTCTCTCGCAGAGGAATGCAGTGTAGACATGCCCAGAGACTGCTTCTTAAGTGCCATGCTAATTTGATGTGCACAGAAATCCAAGGGACTGTGAGCACCTTGTTTTTGCTCTCAGTCTCATTGGTGCAATCCAGAGTACCTCTTCTAAAATCAGTAGACTTTTTTTTTAAAGGGGAAGCTTCATTTTAGCCAGTATTTTTGTGTTGCTTGCTTCAATGTTTCCTATCTGAAAACATTTGGTTTTTTTGTCCCCCTAGTTGTGCCTTGTCTTAAATTAGATCAGAAGCTACTGGTGTTGTGCAAACACTTAGCACAATGAGACCACAGTACTGACACTACAGTAGCACAAATAATAGAGGGGAACAAACCACGTGTCCCTTTTAAACTGTATTGGTGCTGATGGGCTTTTATTTTCTTCCACTCCAGCTATTGAATTGAACTATATTGAACTGTGTGCTAGCTCTGAGAGCAGAGACAATGCACTGGATAAAAACAAGCTTTTAATGCAGCTTCATGCATTGACTCTTCCCTCTCAAATTCCATTATTCATGTGCATTTAAAACGCCGGCCTCTCTGGCTATCCGCAGTTAGAATTATGAGGAGGCTGGGCATACCTGGCTTGACTGCTTTTATAGGCTGCTCCGCTGGGTGAATAAGAATAAATTATTGTTGTGCTTGAAACAATGTACAGTTGCAACAACTAAAGTGGTCTAAGAATAGTCACTTGATATTTATAGGTAAGCTCTGTGTGGGGTTTTTATTAACTGATACTGGGCCTTCTCCTCATGTGATTCCATTGCCACACCCTTATGAGCTCAGTTACGTAGACTTGTTGCGGATACACCCTTTTTATAAAGTTGATTTATGCTACTTCCAGCTGGCTCCCTTTTTCTAACAGTCATATCATGGTCCAGCTCCCGCTGTCTTCAGTGGCAGTGAAGTTAGGTCACGAATCCTAGAGACCGTATGTCAAGTGAGTTTAATGACCTCAGGTGAGTTCCCTTTGAAGGGGTGTCTGGGTCACATAAATTGCCTCCCAGTCTGCACTTATTTAGCACCATACTTGGCAGCCTCAGACAAAACACTCATTAAAAGGCCTAAAGAATCCATTAAGCAGTCACCCTAAAGGTGATCTCTCTCTGTGGGAGGTGAGGCTTACTGGCAAGGCATTGTGGGAAAACTTGGTAGCACCACTAATCTTTTCCATTTGGGGACTAAACAGACCACTCCAGTCTCTGGGACTGTCAGTCCAAAACTTTTCACTGGGAGTAAATCCAAGCCAACACAATAATAATAATAATAGCAGGAGATGATAAAATCTGTATTAACTCCATTTTTGAAAAATAGAGAAGTCCACAGGAGCCATGATTGCACTAAATCTGTTTATCTTGGCTCATCCTCCAATTCCAGGTTAATTGGGGTGGGGGATAGCTCAGTGGTTTGAGCATCGGCCTGCTAAACCCAGAGTTCAATCCTTGAGGGGACTGTTTAGGGATCTGGGGCAAATCTGTCAGGGATGGTACTTGGGGCAGGGGACTGGACACAACTTAATGGCCTCTCAAGGTCCCTTCCAGCTCTATGAGATAGGTATAATTAAGAGTGGGTCCAAGCCTGTTCAAAGTTACTTTTGGTAAGTAGGGATGTTAAAAATTGTGAAATGGGGTAACCACTGGAAACTCTCAGCAGTTACATGGTTGCGGGCTCTGCAGTATAAAGCTTAGCTTATAAGTTAAACAATTAGTTGTTTGCACATAGACATCCCTACACCCAAGTGACCTTTATTCAGCCTCTAAGTGCATTCCGGCCACCCTACGCAAAAGCCAGGAGGGATGGGTGTAGCATCATCTTAGTGCTGGCTGAAGATCCCTCCGTGCCAGGGGTATCCTCAACTGCCTACCTAAGTTCCATTTCCAGAGCGTGGTCCCAGCCCCTGGCCCAGAAAACTGAGCTGCTTTTCCCAATGTGGCTGCGCACACACAATGTAAGTTCATCATTTGCTTCTGCGAATCCCCCGCACGGGTGTGAATGTCAGTTAGTTACATAAAGTTGGCATCAAAGGATAAACATGGGTGCCCTTAAAGTCAATAGGAGCAGGATCATGCTTGGGGCCTTCTCTTCACTTGGACAAAAGGGTTCAATCTTCAAGCTGAGTTGGCAAACTCGAGGTGCAATCTAGGGATGTAACATTGTAACTGATTAAACAATTAACCGATAAGCAAAAGCTTATGGGTTAATGCTATAGAATACATGTATTCTCCCCCTCCCCCAAACTAGTAAATTTTTTACCAGGCTGGCCAGCAGCCCGACTCACTCTGGGTCTCTGCATTTAAAGTGTATTAGGAGCCAGGTGGGCAGGCAGTTCGAACCGGGTCTGGGAGCTCAGACCTCCCCTTAGACAGGGACTACTGCCACCCCATGCTGCTGCCGCTTTATCAGAGGCAGCAGCACAGGGCAACAAGCAGCTGCAAGAGGAGCTGGTTTTCCAAATGGCTCCTGTCGTGGACTGGCTCCTGTCTGGCACCCTGCACTGCTGCCGACCTCGCCCCCTGGGGACTATAGACTAGTCGACCAACCGATAAGAATTCATGAGGTTACTCAACTATTCAGTTAACCGATATTTAACATCCCCAGTGCAATCCTAGTGAAGACAAGGCTGTGTGTAGTGTTCGCACGTGTTAGCAGGTCACGGTAAAGATAATGGGGGAGTGTAACCTGCCTGGACTTTACCTCCTGTTATAAAAGGGCACCATTTCCTGGCACTGGTACAGATACGCGTGCAAGCACAATGTTCACTAGGCACACTGGTGCTGAAGCAGTGTCCTTAGGCCTGACTCAGGCATCCTTAGGATACTAAACGTCCCTTTCTTTTCCCTCCCCTCCTCCCCACTCCTCCTCCTGCTGCAGATTTTTATTGGCGAGATCTCCATGTATTTCATAAAGTCAACCCGAGAAACCCTGATTGTCCAGGAGAAAACTATCTTGACCGGAGAGTGCTGTTACTTGAATCCGTTACTTCGAAGAATTATACGCTTCATAGGTAAGAGTCCATAAACACAGTGTGTTTTGCCCCTGCTTGTGAAAAAATTAAACAAAAGAACACTGATTTCTTATGATCTACAGCACAGCACTAATTCAGCTGTGAAATCTCCACAGGCTTCTTCCACCGAGAGCAATAGTCCTCCTCAGGACTTGCAGAGTAATGTTGAAAATATGCCAAATCATGCTATATGCAGCTGATTTATATGCAATTTTGCTAAGTTTTATGCTTCTCCTGGACCCTGGAAGCAAGGTTATGTCCATCAGAGCTTTAACTGAGTAAGTTTTATCATGGATATTTCCCCGTAATTATTTTACTCCACAGCCCTTCTCTGCCAATTTTTCTCTCGAAATATTAATTAACTTCACAGAACAAGAGCAGGAAGACCTGTGACTTTGAGGAGATGCAACCCTCCACGCCATGCGCGAAGTCACGGTCTAGCCCAAAGGAAATGAGGCATGAAACGTTAGCTGGGGTTCCTCCTCCCCCAATTCTTTACTGTTTTGAATAGGAACATACTAGTAGTAAGGAGTTGCAGTGAGGCCATGTCTCCAATACTGGAGGATCCACACTCCGATGATCAATCTTCCGGGGTTCAATTTAGTGGGCTTAGTAAAGACCCGCTAAATCAATCGTTGAGGGCACCCCCTGTCGACCGTGGTGGTACTTGCTGTTGCGAGGAGTAAGGGGAGTTGAGGGGAGAGTTTCCCATCAGCTTCTCCAGTGGGGCTGCTCCAGAAAATTGATGCAAGGTACGTCGGTCGACTCCAGCTACGCAATTCATGTCGCTGGAGTTGCACGTCTTGCATCGATTTTCTCCGCTCAAAACCCCCAGGTCCCTGCCTCACCTCCCAGCCCCATCACCCCAATCCCTCGGCCCCTGCCCTGCCTCATCGCTCCCAGCCCCCCGCCTTGCCTCCCAGCCCCATACCCTAATCCCTTTTCCCTTGGCTCTCCTCCCAGCACCATCAGCCCCAGGTCCCCAACCTTCCTGCTCCGTCCTGGCCCTGTCAGTCCCGATCCCTAGGTCCCTGCCCGCTGCTCTGCCTCCTAGCCCTGTTGGCCCCAATCACCCCATCCCCTCAGCCCCCTGCTCTGCCTTCCAGCCCCATCAGTCCCAGTCTCTCTGCCCTCACTGCCTGTTCCACCTTCCAGCCTCGCTGGACCCAGTCCCCTGGCCCCCAGTCTCCCTGCCTCAGTCCTCCACCTCCTAGCCCACAGCTCCAGCCAGGTCTGCCTGCCTCCCACCAACCTTCCT